TCTTAAGAGGGCAAGACACGGCGCGAGGTGGGGTGGTAAAACTGCCAGCCAGGCGCGTCAGGGACAAAGCCAAGGAAGACACAGGGAACGGCACGAGATGAGAGCTTGTCCGTGGACGTATCGCGGACAAAGGCTCGACATCCCCAGACCCGGAACACCGACGCATCGCCAACCTTCCCCGTCCAACGCATTGTGGGCGACGTCTCCGGACCAGAGACACGGGGCCAGAGGTTGAGCTGATGCGCAGCGTACTGCACTGCAAACGGCCACAGGAAATGGGGGGCAGCCGCATGGATCATGGAGGTACAAGCGACCTCCATGACTAAGCCAATGCGGCGCTCAGCAATCCCAGTCCGCTCTGGAGAGGCCGGAAGTGTGAACGTCTGGTGAATGCCGTGCTCCGCACAGTAGGCTGCTAAGAGGTCGGAGGAAAACTCACCACCCCTGTCAGAGTGCAGACGCAGAACGGGAACGTCCGAATGGAACCGCTCGCGGAGTTGGAGACAAGCAGCGCGGATCGAGGGGATCAAAACATCAGGGACCTCACCCTTGGTGCGCAAGGGGAAGACCGTGGTGTAGCGCGTGTAGTCGTCGATGACCAGCAGGAAGTACCGCTCGTGGCCCTGACCACGGACGCGGGCTGGGCCCCACACATCCAGCTGGAGAGTGTGCAGGGGAGCCTCTGTGGGAGGGAACAAGGAGGAGTGAGAAGTGGCGCGCTGCTGCCCCTCGACACAGGGAAGACAGGGAGGAGCAAGCAAGGGTGGGAGGGGAGGGAGAACCCTGGGAAGACCAGAGACAAGGTACCGGGAGTGCATGCCATGAAGGCGCTGCACTGAGGGGTGACCAAGGCAGTGGTGCCAGAGGACGGTCTGGTGCGACACGAGCAGGGGGCGGACACCTGACCTGACGAAGACGTAGACGCCGCTACCTGAGGGGACTCAGTGGTCAGTGTGTACAAGTCCGACCCCGGCTGTCGAGTGAAGGTAGCCAGGTGATGACCCATCTGGGCACACGTGCAGTGTGTCACACGCGCGTAGGTAGGGTTGAACTGGTGAACACCCGCGTCCTGGAGCGCAGAACCTCCCACGAAGTTCGTAGAGAACGAGGGGAGGTAAAGGCTCGATAGTGTGCCGGACGGGACAGCAGGACAAGGGGGGGTAGTGGTGGACGTTGCAAGGACCGGACCCCCAAAGGGGTCAGCCACGGAGAAAGCAACCGGTCTAGGGAGCTGCTCTAGGGCAGTGCGGTCGCGAAAGAAACAACGGGAAGCACCTGAGTCCAGTGTGAAGGCGTGCAGTGCCTAAGTAGACGTAGTACCTGAAGGTGCAGGTTCACAAGCACCTGAAGCAGTAGACTCACAAGCGCCTAGAGCAGCAGCCTCACCAGGGTTTAAGAGGACCTTGAGTGTCTTGCAGCCGCTGCGCCTCATCTCGTGTCCATGCTGATTGCCCCTGAGGGAGACCCAGATGCACCAGACATCCCGACCCCGCGCTCTTACGCTGAGGCGGTCGCGGGTGAGTACTCCTCTCAGTGGCAGTCAGCCATGGACGCAAAGATGGCATCCTTGAAGTCCACATAAACTTACGTCGACGAGGTTCCCCCTCCTAGGGCGAACATCGTCAGTGGCATGTGGATTTTCAGGGTGAAGCGGCCGCCGGGTTCTCTGCCTGTCTTCAAGGCACGTTATGTTGCTCGAGGCTTCAGTTAGCGAGAGGGAGTAGACTTCTTTCGAACCTTCTCCCCCACCCCAAAGATGACCACTCTTTGGGTGCTACTGCACGTTGCTGCTCAGCGTGACTACAAGCTTCACTCTCTTGACTTCAGCACAGCTTTCTTGCAGGGCAGCCTGCACGAGGAGATCTGGCTGCGCCGCCCTCCTGGCTTCACTGGGTCGTTTCCTCCTAGTACCCTGTGGACCCTCCAGCGGCCGGTCTACCATCTCCGCCAAGCGCCACGTGAGTGGCACGACACACTGAGGACTACTCTTGCGGCACTTGGGGGTTCGCGCCTTCTACTGCTGACCCTTCACTAATTCTGCGCACCGACACTTCGCTACCGCCGTTCTAAATCCTCGTGTACGTTGACGACTTGGTCTTTGCCACTGCTGACACTGAGGCTCTTGCCCACGTGAAGTCGGAGCTGAAGAAGAGACACACGTGCACAGACCTGGGTGAACTGCGCAGCTACCTTGGCTTGCAGATCACCGTGGATAGAGCACGCCGCACCATCACACTGACTTAGTCACATATGGTGCAGCAAGTCCTTCAGCGCTTCAGCTTCACCTGGTCCTCAGCACAGGCCACTCCTCTGGCTATAGGTTACTCGCTCTCAGCTCTGCCTTCGGATGAGTCCGTAGAGCCGAGTCGACCTTACCCATAGCTAGTTGGTTACCTCATGTACCTGATGACTTGCACTCGTCATGACCTAGCATACCCTCTTGGCCTTCTGGCCCGCTATGTGGCTCCTCGCAGGCACCAAAAGGTGCACTGGGATGCTCCAAAGAGGGTATTGCGCTACTTGTGCAGTACATTGGCCATGGGGCTCGTGCTTGGAGGAGGGAGCCTAGTTGTTCTCACTGGGCACTCAGACGCTTCTTGGGTTGATGACCAGGCTACTCAGCGGTCGTTACAGGGTTACACCTTCAGCCTTGGCCTTGGCTCAGTATCGTGGCGTTCTACGCGTTCGTCTTCAGTTCTCAACTCCAGTTGTGAGGCTGAGATCTACGCCACAGCCATGGCTGCACAGGAGTTACGCTAGCTCACCTACCTGCTGGCCGGCCTGGGAGAGCGGCCTCGTTCTCCTCCAGTATTGTACGTTGACAACAAGGCTGCCATTGCCTTGTGTGAGGAGCACAGACTGGAGCACAGGACAAAGCACATCGCTCTATGTTACTTTCTGTCTCGAGAGTTGCAGCAGCGTGGTCAGCTTCGTCTGCGTTACGTGGCCACTCAGGCCAACACTGCTGATATATTCACCAAGGTACTTCAGTCTGGTGATCATCAGCGCTTCTGTACTTTGTTAGGGCTTGTGCCCAATTTTCCTCACTTGCTGCAGACCTTGCCTGTACTGTGATCTATATACTTATACCTTCATGCTTGTACTGCTAGGCAGAGATCACTGTGATGTTTGTGACGCATATATGCCTCTGCATGTGAACTGGCCTTGTGGCTCTTTGCTTGTGCTGAATGTGTGTGGTGACTTTGTGATCCACCCTGAGCTTGTGTTCTCTTTCTTGACTGGTCTTGTGACCCCTTGCTCTACCCCACTTAGCCTATGGGGGTGTGTCAAACATTATATATGTTATTGTTGTGTAGGCTATAGTGGGTTAGCCTCTAAGGGGTATATCATTCTAGGGTTTGCTATTTGTATCACCAATGATCATAGTTCAATCACTTGTTCTTTCTGACACGCTTGGCCGATGTGGGCGACGAAGCAGACGATGTGCAGCACTAGGTGCCATGCTCACTTGCATGGCTGGTGCGGTGGACGATGTGCTGTGTGTTGGGTGCACGTTGACGAGCTATTCTCCAAGGAGTACTGCCATGTGGGCTGGGGGCCTAAGCATGAACGCGGCAGGGGAGTGTCAACGGGAGTTGAGTTTTGGCCCCGTCCTCGCTTGGGCGGAGCCGGCTTCATGGTCGGGTGTGAGGGGAGCAGCCGACCTACAGCAGTGGGCGAGCTGGTTGACGAGGAGGTCAACCTGCACGGGGACCACTGCACGGGCGCGGACTTTAGGGTGGCGCCAACTTCAGGGAGTTCGACCTGGGAAGTCGACCCGCGACGGACGTCAACTTGGTGACGCCAACTTGGGGCAGCCGACTTGGGTGGTCAGTTGACAGGTTTGCTGGTCGACCTGGTGATTGGTCGACCAGGCTTGCTGGTCGAGTTGGTGGTGGTCGACCAGGCACGATGTCAACCTGGTGGTCGACCAGACCTGGTGGTCGACGGAAGAGGGGCCGATGTCGACCTCGACTCAGGACTCCAAGCAGCTGGGCGTCGAATAGCAGGGCATCAACTTGGTGGCGCCGACTTTGGGTAGCCGACTTGGGTGGTCGGCGGACAACTGCGCTGGTCGACATGGAGCTGGTCAACCAGGAGGGACGTTGACCTGGATCACGTCGACCAGGAACGTGATCGACGTGGGGTGGTCCTCGACTTGGGAGGTTGATGGGCTCATACAGAAGCAGATGGTCGACGTGGTTGCCCGGTCGACCAGGCTACCTGGGTGACGAGGCTCTGCGGGAGAGTCGACAGTCACCCAGGTGAAGTTGGCGAGTCCGTCCTCGGTGGTGGTATCCCAAGGTCAATGTGGCTGATCAGATGAAATCGTCAACGCCAGGTTGACTTGGTGTGTGTGCTGTGCAGGTGACAATGCTCAGCACGCCAATCATCTGTGAGCACCTGCGAAGCTAGTGCGTTGCTGTACCGCGGGAGCAGCGCTGGCACGTTGTCAACCTGCAACGTTGGCACGCCGTCGACTTTGCACTGCTGGAGCGCGGTCGACCAAGTCGTGCTCGAACGCGGTCGACCATGCTGTGCTGGGTGTCCTGAATGCTAGCTCTGATGTAGTCTTGCCATGCCAACTTCATTGTACCATTGTTGTTAACTTTCTCTAGTGAAATTCTTGCCAAATTATCCCGTGAACTAGCAAGTAGTGTGTGCACTAGGAAAACGACTAAGCACCAACGAACGCAGAGATCACACGAGCACCCGTGCCTAGCCCGTAGTCCAGCTCCCATTGTAGTAGTTATCTCCACATAGGCTGTACACCCAATGGTCCAGCATGCCTTGGGGAGGGAAGGGTTGGGCAAGCGCAGGGAGAACACGGGTGAGCGAGAGGGACAAAACGACATGGTACTTTCCAGAGTAGCATGGGAGGGCAGGGACGAGGGCGGCTGGTGAGGTGCAGCAGGGTGTACCCCTAGCGATCCAACATGCCTGGTGGGGGGGAAGGGAAAGATAAAAAGAGAATAAGAGGGGTGGTAGGATAGGAGAGTCTAGAGTCGATTCAAAACTGGGCCTGCGAGTGCAAATGTGCCCCTACCATGCACCCACTTGTGCGCCCCACCCACCTCTGCGCCCCACCCACCTGTATGCCTCACCCACCTGTGCGCCCCACCCATCTGTGCGCCCCACCCACCTGTGCGCCCAACCCACATGTGCGCCCCACCCACCTGTGCGCCCCACCCACCTGTGCGCCCCACCCATCTGTGCGCCCCACCCACCTGTGCGCCCCACTCACGTGTGCGCCCCACCCACCTGTGCGCCCCACCCACCTGTGCACCCCACCCACCTATGAGGGCAAAGGTGCCCCTTAGCACGGCACAGAGTTGAGTGAGGAAGTGGAAGAAGCTTTGGTGCGACTCGGTGATGCTCACTGCTATGGGCGAGCGGTAGTACAGGAAGTAGACTGCCGCAGGGGGGGAGGGGGGAAAGAGGGAGACAGAGGAGGTGCAGAGAGTGTTAGAATGGGGCACGTGGGGGAAGGGGCAAGGAAGATTCGGTGGTGTGACTGGGTGATGCTCACTGCTATGTGTGAGAGGTCGTACAAGAAATAGATGGCTGTAGGGGGAGGGATGGGGGAAGGAGGAGGAAAGGGGGGGTGGGGGTGGCGTGGGAACGTGAGTAGAAGGGAGGGTGCAGTGTAGTGCAGGTGTAAATTTTCGAGGCATATGATGCTCACTCTTGTGGTTTGCCCAGGAAGAGTGAAAGACCGAAGTAAAACAAACTTTTGGGGTTTTCAGGGCGCATACCTGGCAGGGCGATAGATTGTGGTGAGGAGGGAGTGAAGTATTCACTGATGGAGTACTGGTTCGTCTTCACAGTTCCCCCGTGCCAGAAGCGGAAGCGCGTCAGCACCACCTCAGGGGAGGCACACGTGGGGATTGTAGAGCGAAAAGGGCATGCACATCATCATGCTGCACCGCTCCTAACCCACTTGAATTCACTGATGGAGTACTGGTTCGTCTTCACGGTCCCTCCGTGCCAGAAGCAGAAGCGAGTCGGCACCACATGAAGCAAGACGAGACATGAGATATACAAAAGGTGCAAAGCATTCAAAGGTACTCCCCTGCCCCCCTCCTAATCCCTAGGAACTAGGTCATTCTTAGGTTAAAATTTAGAGTTGTCTTCAACTGAACCGAGTACTGGTTGGTCTCTATGGATCCTCCGTGGTAGGAGTGGAAGTGAGGGGGGTACCATAAGGTGGAGTGTGGTGGAGATTTCTCACCTAAAGGAAGTACTTGAAAGAGCCACTGCCGAGCGGCAGTGTCCTCCCCCTCCTTGAGGGGCGGCTGGATGGAAGAGAGTGGTGTGCATGTAGTCGAGTGGAGTGCAGTGGAGTGCAGTCCAGTGCGGTGGAGTGCATTGGAGTGCGATAATCGCTCACTCACCTTGAGGAAGTACTTGAACATGTCACTGGATCTGGCAGGGTCCTCCCCTTCTTTGAGGGGCGGCGGCATGCAGACGAGACCGTCCAGAGGGTTGAGCCGCCCGGGATAGGGCACTAAGAAACCGAGTGAGTAGATGATGTGCGACATGTTCACATCGCCCGCTGATGAGAAGACCTGGAGACGGAATGAGAGGAAGGAAGTGGGGGGTTGAAGGGAAGGAAGGTGATTGTGAGGGATGACGGGAAAAGTAAGGAAGAGGAAGACACTCCGAAACCTAGGGAGTGAATGATGTGAGACACCTTAACATCACCTACTGATGAGAAGACCTGAGAGAGGATGGGGGGAAGAGGGAAAGTAAGTCTTGTTGAGTTTTACCAAGGAAGGCAGGATGAAACGAAGGAGGGCATGAGATGCAGATAAGGTAAGAAGGCAGTTCGAGGCAGAAGGAGTGGATGGCGTGGGTCCAGTTCACATTGTGTACTGTGGAGAAGAGTTGGGAAGGGGCAGCGGCTGCTCCCATCATCTGATAGGAATGCGGGAGGCCTTCGTTGACATGCAGCCGAGAGGAGACATTCGGCACTTTTGCGGCTTCAACGGGGCACTTCAGAGCGTCCAGGGCAGAGGCACCGTTGCGTTGCAAGTAGAGGCTGGGAAGCAGGTCCTCGTCCCCGACGTGCTCTACGTTCCAAGTGTGCAGGCAAAACTGCTGTCTGCCGGCCAGCTCCAGGAGAACGGCGTGAAGTCGCAGAATGATGGCGAGGAAATGTTGCTGGTGTCTTTTGCTGGCAATGTCCTTGGTCGAGCATGCTACTCCGCAGACGACCGCCGCCGCCGGTATGGACATTAAAAAGTCAACCACAAACGACATGTCGTGTGCCTCTTGCGTTGGCGGCAAGCTTGCGCAGCACACCTTCCCCGACCAAGGATCGGACGCCGAGAATGTGCTCAATGTGGTGCACATTGACCTCTGCGGGCCGTTTCGAATGGCCGCCAACGATGGCAGCCTCTACTTTCTTCTGCTGAAGGACAGGAAGACTCGCTACGTGTAAGTGAGGCCAATCGCGAAGAAGAGCGGCATGCTGGTCATCTTTGACAAGTGGTTGAAGGTGGTGGAGCGGTAGACTTTGAAGATGGTGAAGATGTTGCGTTCTAACCGCGAAGGGGAGTTTCTTGGTCGAGCCTTCACCTACCTCCTCGATGACAAAGGCATCCTCCACAACCTGACATGCCCCTACACTCCGTAGCAGAACGGAATGGCGGAGCGCGAGATGCGCACGGTCGTCAAGCCGTGTGGACGATTCTTCTACACATGGGCGTGAAGCACCACTTGTGGCACCTCGCACTATGACAGGCTGTCTGGGTGTGCAACTGCCTCAAACGGGCTTCTCTACCTCCGGGGATGACGCTGCACGAGTTGCTGTTCGAGAAGAAGCTGGATTTTATGCGGCCGCATGTATGGGGCTACATTGTGCAGTTCATGGTCTCAGAGCAGCACCGTGGCGAGAAGCTGGCGTCGAAGGCTCGTTGAGGTCTTCACCTCGGAGTGTCGCTAGAGAGCAAGGGCTGGGAGGTGCTCAACATGACAAACAACAAAGTCATCACGGCGGTCGAAGCGATCTTCTACGAGACCCTGCAGATGGAGCTGTGGAAGGCAGAGTACTGGCCGGCGTTGTCAAGGACGCCATCTGCCCCACCACCAGGTTCCTCCTTGGAGATGCCTCCTCTGGTCGCCGACGTCGAAATGTTGAGGACGTAGAGAAAGTCTAACTCCCTCCTCCTATTTTGCCCCCGTCGGCGATGTCGTCGCCCTCCCCTTCACGGCCCGTAGTCGACCTTGCAGCGAAAGGATCCTCGTCGGCCGTCGGCGACGAGGGGAGACTTGGTGCGTCACCTACAACACCGTTTGGTTACATCGCCGGTGGCCGACGTGACGTCGAGAAGGTCATAGATGGGTAGCGTGGACGATAGGGGAGCAGATGATAGGGAAGCTGTCAGCGTCGAAGCCAACTTTCGAAAAGCCATCGGCAGAGGCGCCAGCTTCAGGTGAGCTTTTGGCAGAGAAGCTGATCCTGGTGGAGCAATCAGTAGAGGAGCTACCGAAAGGGGAGCAGTTTGACGATAACTCGTCGAGCGATGTTGTAGAAGTCGTCGGTGCGGCCGGCAGTGATGAAAGGGAGCTGTCGACAGGGGAGCAGTCTGACGGCAGCGACGTGGTGGAGGTTCCAATGGAAGAGGAAAAACTGCGACTGTCTACCCGCTCCAATATCGGCAAGCCGCTTGAGAAGCTGAGCTACCACGCTTGTCTACCGCCAACTGCCTATAGTACTCTGCTTGATGACGTAGATCTTGACGTCGATCTGCCCGAGCTCGACCTCGACATGCATGCCAATCCAGAGCACCGCTGGGACATCGCCAACATGATGGTGAGCTAGAAGGGCAAGGCGGTCAAGGCCACCATGCATAAAGAGATCGGGAGCCTTATCTCCAATGGCATGTGGGAGCTAGTTGAGCTTCTGCGCAGTGTCAACATCATGAAGAACCGCCGGGTGCTAATGACGAAGTACCACGTCGACGACACGGTCGTCCGCGAGAAGGTCCGCCTGGTCGTGAAAGGCTTTACGCAGGTCTACGGTGCAGACTACAATGAGACGTACATGCTGGTGGGGAGCTACGTGACTCTGTGGATCTTCCTCAACATTGTAGTAGTCCTCGACCTGCATCTGATGCAGCTCGACATGAAAAACACGTTTCTGCAGAGCAAGCTGGATCGCGTGCTCTACATGTACCAGCCTGACTACTACAACGATGGCACCCGTTGCGTCTGCAAGCTACTGAAGAGCCTCTACATGCTGAAGCAGTCGCCGCTGCTGTGGTACAAGGCGCTCGACGACGTGCTGGCTGGTGCGGACTAGAAGAAGAGCCAGGTCGACAAGGTTCTCTACTTCAAGGTCGGCGACGACGGAGTGGCATGCTAGGTGCTCATCTACATCGACGATCGCCGTGAGCAGCACCACTGCGATGCTAAAAGAGCTGTTGAAGGCCGCTTTTGAGTTACGCTGGATCAGCTCTGTCAAGAAGTATCTCGAGCTGGAAATAGTGCGCGACCGTCCTGTGCAAAAGTCGTGGCTTCACCAGCAAGTCTACGTCAATAAGCTGCGTCAGTGTTTCATCAACAAGGAGTAGATCGGGCGAGTGCAGAAGACGCCGGTCTTTGTCGACGCCTACGCAGAGCTGATGCTCGACAACTAGGAGTTCCAGTCGTGCGAGGAAGCAGAGTACCGGTAGAAGGTCAGCTCGCTGCAGTTCGTGGCTACAACCACGAAGACAGTCATTACCTTTGCGTGCAGCAAGCTGCGGAGAACCACTGACAGTGCAGAGTGAGAACCACTGGCGCGAGGTCGACCGCTGTCTGCACTACCTCGCCGACACTCGTGACGCCGCTCTGGAGTTCAGCGGCGGACCAGAGTCGCTGTGTCTGGTCGACTATGCAGATGCCGATGACGCTTGTGACAAGCAAAATCGGATGAGCACGGGGGGCTATATGTTCTATTGGGAGGGGCCGCAGTCTTCTAGTCGAGCCAGCGCATCAAGTGCGCGATGCTCTCGTCGACCAACTCGGAGTACGTCGTGACCACAGAAACCGGCAAGGAGGCTCGTCGACACTGCTTCCTCCTTGTAGAGTTCAAGCTGCTCGACGTTGGGAAGCCAACCATGCTGCACGTGGACAACCAGTCGGCAATCATGGCGATAGAGGGCTTGGGGCTCAAGTGAAACCTCAAGCATATGGAGCCTACACCTAGCATATGGTGAAGCGCGGGAAGATTGCTTGGCAGTACATCCCGACCTCCGAGCAGCCGGCAGACTTTCTGACAAAGGTGCTGCATTTTCCGGCTTCCAACCAGTGCTCCGTCGCAATCGGCCAACTGTGTCTGCCTGACATTGGTGACGGGGATGACGAGGTGCAGCAGTAGGTGCCGTGCCCTTCTGCACGGCTAGTGCAGTGATCTGCGTGCTATGTGTTGAGTGCACGTAGTTGGAATTTTCTCCTTGTATTCTATCCCTCTGGGTTCTGGGTGGACCTTGCGTGTGGGTGCCCAAGCGTGAGCTGAACAGAGGAGTGTCAAAGAGAAAGGCCCCGCCCTCACTTGGGCGCAGCTGATCTTGCCTGCGATCAGAAGTCCTCGACGGATTGGTCGTCGAAGTGGGCTCTGCTCGACGAAATCTGGTTGATATCGTTGACGGGCAGTGTTGGTCAAAGACAGCTGTCGAGGAGGCTCGTCGAGGAGCGGTGGTCAACGAGGTCCGTCAAGGATTGCTGGTCGACGATTTTGGTCGAAGAGCTCTATCAAGGAGTTCTGGTCGACGAGCTTTGCTTGGCAAACGCTGTTCGACCAAGCGATGTCGAGTTGATCGACAGAACTCACCGAGGTGCGCAAAACTCTGTGGAGGCGTGCGATACGACTTGCGGAAGTTCGACTTGCGGAACGGCAGCACGTGCTCGATGGCTGGCACTTGAGGAAACCGACGACACGTTTTCTACCTCGCACCTGCGCAATGTGCCTGGCAGTGAAATCGTCAACCTGCATCTACTTGGTAGGTGCGCACATCTGCGCAGATAGTCATCTGCACCTGCAGATAGTCACCTGTGACTACAGTGTTGGGAGATCGCATGCAGTACAACGCTTGCAGATTGCTCTGCTGTAGCGTTGACAAGCCGCTCTTCTGCTGCGCTGGCAGAGTTGGCTCTGCAGAATGCTTGCTAGGGGTTGCATGTCATTCTAGTCATATCGTTTTGGATGCCATTAAACTCTAATCTTTTCAATGTTCAATATTCTTTTCACATTCTTAGTGGAACTCTTGCCGAACTTCTCTATGAACACAAGAAAGTAGTAAGAACGCTACTAGAGCGTTGCGATCACCCACACAACCCCATGCCCTCCTCCGTAAGTCCACTCCCATTGTGTAGTGACTCTCTGCAGATACTGTTCACACAGAAGAAGGACGGAGGCATGCGCATGTATATCGACTATCGAGCGCTAAATCGGATCGCCATTAAGTCGCGTTTCCTGATTCTGAGAGCAACGACCTACTGGATCAGCTTCCCGAGGCTTGTTATTTCTCAAAAATCGATTTGCGAGGTGACTACT